GAGAGAATTTTAATATTTATTTTTTAGTTCTCGGCGGACACAACATCTTTGTTGGTATGTGGTGCTGAGGATCGAACCCGGGCCGCACGCATGCCAGGCGAGCACGCTACCGCTTGAGCCACATCCCCAGCCCACTTGAAAGTATTGTGTTAAGTGAAATAAGCCAAACTCAGAAGGTCAAGGCCCGAGTGTTTCTCTCATATGTGGAAGCTAGAGAGGAAAACTGAAAAGGAAGAGGGGGCAGATCTCATGAAAACCAAAGGAAGGTTAGTACAGCCGAGGAAGGGCCAGGGGAGAGAGGTCTAGAGGGAGGGCAGACATGCTGGGGAGGATGTTGGCTCAATTGTATGGATAGATTGTGTACATGTACCAATATGTAACAGCAAATGCACCCCTCCTTACAACTATCATGCACTGATCAAAAATATAGAAAAAACAAAGCCCTTGGGGCTGGGGATGTGGCTCAAGCGGTAGCAAGCTCGCCTGGCATGCATGGGGCTCTGGGTTAGATCCTCAGCACCACATAAAAATAAAATAAAGATGTTGTGTCCACCAAAAATTAAAGAATAAATATTAAAAAATTATCTCTCTCTCTTAACAAAACGAAACAAAACAATACAAAAACAAAACAAAAAAGCCCTGTGCTGAAGTCCTGACCCCAGCACCTTAGAGGGTGCCCTCACTTGGAAACAGCCTGGTTGCAGAGGTAACAGAGAAGGTGCGGTCACCGGGGAAGGCCCCTCTCCAGCGTGACTGGTGCCTTGTGATCGGGGAAGTCTGCTCGCAGACACACGCAGGGCACACGTGACGACATGACGATGGAGCCAGAGGTTGGCTTACGTTCCCACTGCATAAGGAAGAGGGGCCGAGAAGCCGAGAAGCCGAGACAGCCCTTGCAGCCCGGGCGGAGCCAGTGCCCCACACCTCCACACCTTCAGCTCTGTGCCCAGAGCTCAGCGTCCGGCCTCCAGCCCACTGTGTCGTTCTCTGGCYTGTGGTCCTTTCTCACAGCAACACTAGTCCACCAGGGTTAAGAAGCCTCTTCCCCATGAGGGGACAAGCACAGTGACAGGCTACACCTCCTGTGGAGGGGAGCCAAACCTCTGGCTGGACTGAACTGTGACTGGTGGCACCCCCTCACTGCAGAGCCCAGACGCCTTGCCTCCCCAGGCAGGCTGCTGTGCACAGGTGGAGAGCACCCTGACCCACAGGCTTCCCAGCAGAGGCTTCAAATGCTTTCCAAAATACAGGAAAAGCACGTGAGTGGAGAAGCGTCCGTGTGTTGGATGTATAACCCCCATGTTAGCATGCAGATCTTCTTAAATTCCAATAAAAATTCTAGAGAGATTAGTGTGTGCATGGGTGTGTGTGTGTGTGTGTGTGTGTGTGTGTGTGTGTGTAAGCTCAAGGGCCTGACTGTAAAATTCAAGTGCAAGAATAAGTATTCAGGACTAGAAGGGCAGTGAGGATGAGGTTTGGCATGTATCCGGAGGACAGTGTGGCGTTGGGAGTGGAGTGGCAGCTGGCACCTCATGCAGGTGTTTGCATACACACACGGCCTGACCAGCACCAGACAGGACTCTAGTTAGGGAAGGACAGGTGGCCTGGCAGACGGACCCACCACACAGTGAAAGCAAGCTGGTCCCTACCTCCTGCCACCGTCAGTGGTGACTTTGCAATTCACTGGGTTAAAGGCCTGAAAGGCAGAGTGAGACCACACAGCGGACAGAAGAAAAAGCAGGATTTCTGCAGCCTGGGGTGTGCAAGACCAGAGCTCTGGCCAGAATTGACAGATTGGGACAAATCAAAATGAAGGCTGAGGGAAAAGTCTTACAGAGTCTAAAGTGCACCCAGAATACACAAAGAACTCCCATAAATCAATAAGGAAGGACAGAATTCACCCAAAAAAGCRAGCGCAGGGTAAGTGAAGGGAGGYCCGACTTCTCCAGCGAGGAGAGATGCGAGAGCCACGGGGTGCAGGGAACTTGCCCAGGTCACCTGTGGAGCTCCTGAGCATGGTCTTGGCTTCTCGCCTGGGAGCGCACAGTGGCAGCTGTGTGCCCGAGCCCTGCCAACACTCTGTTCTCTCTGCTGAGCCAGAGGCTGGGTCACGGCAGCCCACGGGTCGAGGACCCTTGTCTTCATGCCTGTGATGTTCCTGGGGCTGAATTCTCTCAACTTCTGAGGAACTGACAACTGCTACACTACAATCATCTCCCGCTGCCAGGCGCAATGTCTACGCCTGTCACCGCAGCAACTCAGAAGACTGAGGAGGCAGGAGGATCCAGGATTGAGGCCAAGCCTGGGCAACGTAGTGAGACCATGTCCCAAAATAGAAAATGAAAAGTGCTGGGGCAGGGCTCAATGGTAGCCTAGTCTGCGTGCGCCCTGGGTTTTGTCCCTAGCTCTGGAAAAACAACAACAACAACAAAAAACCCAGCCTGTTTTCCAGCCCTTATAATACTGACATGGGGTGTTTACAATAGCTGCAGTTGGCTGAGCTACAATAGCTAAGTTATAYGCTTATGTTTCATCTGCATCACACCCAGGAGAGTGTCCTATTTAATCAGTTTTGTTTGAGAAATTCCTCTTCATTTTCAACCTGTAGAAGTTGGTAAGCACCATTTGGCCAAGTTTCAAGATCTGATAAAGGGTCACTACGTGTTTTTTTCCCTTCCCTCTTTTCTCTCTCTTTTTCAGGACTGGCAATTGAGTTCAGGGCTGCTCTACCACGGAGCTGCACGCCAGACCTTTTATTTTGGGACCGGGTCTTCCTGAGTGGCCCAGGAGGGCCCTGAACTTGTGACCCTCCTGCTCTGACTCCCGAGTGGCTGGGATGATAAGCATGGCCACTGTGCCTGGACCTGGTCACTACACTTTTCACTACAGTTATCAAAGAACAGAATGCACTGTCATAGAATTGAAGTCTGGAACCCCTTGGACTGTCCCGTTTGTTCCTGTGGGATCACAGATCCCTTAGTTTTCAGTCACTGGCGCTGTCTTTCCTGGTTTCCATCTTCGTTGGTTTTCTGTTTCTGAGGTGTGCTGGGGGAGGGTTGCCTGTGTCTCTCCTGTTCCGTGGTGCTGGTGCTGGCTCTATGGGCCATGGCTAGGGCCACAGCTTCTGATTCTTTCCCTGTTTCAGATATCTGCATGTTTTGTTAAATTCTATTTGATGTCTATTTGCTAAACAGCAGTATAAATAAATAAAATTTAAAAAAATTAAGAAGCAACAGTGAGGTTGCATAATAAATACCTTTATCATCTCAACTGGAAATAACTGGATATGGCATGTGGAGCCAATTCGGAGACGTGGAGAACTTTCCAGAATTTTGGCTGAAACTCCCCTGCCTTAWGTTGCTGGGCTCAGGCACACAAGACAGGCAGCATTTTCACAAAAACTCCTTGGCTCAGACCCCAAAACAATGCCAGATATTTCTCTGGTCTGTTCTTTCCAGTTCAATGAGATAAAAAACTGAAAGCTTGTCTCTTTTTGAATGCCATCCTTTGAGCCAACTCTTCTGGAGCTCTGGTGTGTGCCGGGCCCACCTCAGGAGTGGCGCACTCTGCGTGGTCTGTGGTCTGGCCCTCGGGGAGGGTGGCTGCAGGCTCTGCCCACCTGCTCTCCCTGCCAGGCTCACCAGCTGCCTGCCCTGMTCCTGCCCTCACAGTGCGGCTGACAGCCAGGGCTGAGGCCAGGGGTCAGGATCCCAGGCCCCTCGAGTCTGGGTTGCTTTGAGGTGTCTGTCAAGGTCTCCTTTCAGGGTTGCTGAGCACCTTGGGGCTCGTCAGCCCCAGGACCCAGTATCCTCACCCTGACCCAGGCCTGGAGCTCTGGGTGTGCGCCACATGCCCACGGAGCAGGTGCCTCCCACCAATGGGGGTGAGAAGAGTCAGGTGTGCCAGCCCGGACCCACGGGGCTGAGGCATGAGGGCCAAGAGCCAGAGGCCACAGGACCCCAGGGGGCACAGGGTTCAGACTCATCTTCTCAACAGGGACCCCTCAGTAAAGACCCTGCCCCTCGGGAGACACCCCCACCTTGGAGGGAGCCCACACCTCAAAGAATGTCCCATCACCCTTCCTTGTGCCCCAGGGAGTTAGCAGCCTGTCTCCCTGGGCAGCCAGCAGCTTGAGGCTGAGCTCTGGGCCACTTGTCCTTGATCCAGCCCTTAAATCACCACCCACCCCACTGCCTCGGCAGGACCCTGGCTCAGGCCCTTCACTCACCTGAGGGAGCTCAGGCGGCTGCCGTTCAACTTCAGCTGGTCCAGGTTGGGCAGGTGGACTCCTGTGTGTCACAGGAGGAGCGCTGGGCCTGGCCCTCACCCTGCCCACCCTCACTCACGCCTCCTCCCAGACACAGCACCCCTCAGCCCCGTTGCTCCCCAATGCTGTAGGACCAGCCTCTGGGCAGAGCATCTCACCACACTGTGGGGGTGGTACTGTTGACCAGCTGTCTCCCTGCATCCTGGATGGGCAGGCAGGGTGGCTCCTCTAGCTGTCAGTGGGCCCTATTCTGTGGGGCCTGCTTCAGGTGATCCGAGCACTCTGTTCCCCAACCACTGAGGGGCCACAATCCCACACAGCCTAGCCAGAATAAAGCACATGCCTCACTAAGTGGCTTAGAGCCTAAGTTGCTGAGGCTGGCTTTGAACTTGCGACCCTCCTGCCTCAGCTCCCTGAGCTGCTGGGATCACAGGCCTGCTCCACCTCACCCAGCATAAATCTGGAATTATTTCAAAATAAGTTTTGGGAGCACCTGCCACCAAGGTGTGGTATCTGGTGGGCACATTTTAACCTTCACTACTTGGCGATGCTGGCATGGGTGTGGGAGCAGAGTCCTTCTGAGGGCAGTGTGGAAACATGAACCACAGCCTAAACTTCTGCCCCTGCCTGGCTCAGATCTGGGTCCGTCCAAGGTGTCTGCCCACATCACCTTCACAGCCAGAAGGACGTTTCACAGAGGGGCTGGCCTGGACCACGGTGGGCAGGGCAGGCCCTGGATAGGCAGTGCTTACCGAAGTTTCCCAGGCTGCTCTCACGGGTGTCCACACACATTTCCAGCACCCGCACCAGCTGGAGGTTGTCCACCTGGGCCAGGACCCGCTGCAGATACCAACAGGGGCGTCACTTCCTTCCAGTTTCCTTCACACCTTTGGCAGTGGGGCTCTGTGAGGCCCACGGGAGCAGGTGACATGTACGGCCCTGAATCACCACATTAATCCGGGCCAACGATGGCCCGGCTGGCAGAGTACAAGTAGATGTGACCTGAGTAGTGGTGGTGACTGGGGTTGGTTGGAGGCCACTGCCAGAGAAGGGCCTGTTCTCGGGGTGAGGCTGTAAAGGAGACCTTGCAAACAGACCCAAAGCACAGGCACCAGGAGCTAGCTCTGCCAGGCACGCTGGCTACAATTTGTGGGCAAGCTGGCATGCTCTGAGCCACATCCTGGGCCCCTGCCGGTCACTCTGTGCTGGGTCTCCTCGACAAGGTATCTCCTGTGTGTGCAATATAAGTGTGGCCTGCAAGATCCTGGGCCCCCACTTGCTGTGGGGTTAGTGGGAACCTCAGGGACGAGGTAGACCTGTAGGTCACTTTGAAGGATGGCCTGGGTGACGGGGGATGCTTACCCCTGAGGGAGTCCCCTCCCCCAAGGTAGCCAATGATGCATAGGAGGTCCTGTATAGGGAGACACAGTGTTTCCCAGGAGGACTCTGCAGATCTTCTAGAACTCAGGGTTAGGGTGCAACAGTGAGTCCTCACACAAGGTTTTGGGAGAAGACTCCATCTGATGCCCAGGCACAGTCAGTGCACTCGCGTGGCCCCCACCTCATCCTAAAGGTCTGGTGGGTTGGGAAGGGGCATGAGAGCCCTGGCCCTGGGAAAGCAGGCCACAGACCATCTCCAGACGGCCCAAGGGAGGCACTCCAGTGGGGGCACTCATGTCCAGCCAGCTGCCTGCAGGCACAGCCCCCTTCTAGGCCTGAGTCTCTGCACCTTGCTCTTCTGTGAGCCCACTCTGATGGCCTGCCTGTCTTGCCACCAGAGCACCCACTGGTGGAGTGAGGAGCCTCCTCTGGTTCCAGGACAGTGGTCTCAACAAGCACTTACCGAATCCTGGCCTGTCAGGACCTGGGAACATCTGCCATCTAGGGCCGGTGGTGCTTTGGGGGCTGGTAGGTCCCAAGATTAGAAAGGTAGAGGGCCCCTAGCTGTGATGGCTGGGCTGAGGGCAGGCTGGGTATCAGCAGAAAAGGGGCTCAGGTTGTCACCTTATGCAGGCCCCTGTGGCCAGAGCTCCTGGCCTCTGACACTTACCAGTCGAGCAGGGGACAGATGCTCCAACAGTTGCTCCCTGCAGCTGTCCCCATGGCTGCCCAGGGACCTGCTCTGTGGGCAGGGGTTGTGCAGGCCCTGCCAACTCAGCTCTCGTACATGGACACTGGCTGTGTGTGGCCGAGGCCCCTGGGATCCATCCCAGGCTGGGTCCATCCACATCCAACCTGCTGGGAGAGGCAGAGGGCAGGGCCTCCAACCTTCTGCTCCTGCTCCTACCTGAGGCTGAGTGAGACGCCTGCATAACCAGGGTCCCAGCCTGGCCTTGCCTAAGGGGCTTGGCTTAGCTTTACCCCACCTGGTAGCCTCACAGTCCCTCCCTTAGCTTTGACTTAGGCCTCTTGCCCAGGCCCGTGCTCTCAGGGTCCATGAAATGAGTGTTGGCCCCATGAGGTCTGTGAGCCTCGAGGAACTGGACCTGCTGGCCAGCAGCAAGCTGTTGCTCACAGGCTCCTCAGGCTGCCCCAGGCCCTGGGCTGTGGGTCCTTCTTCATCTGATGGTCTCTGAGCCTGGCCCAGGACCAGGGTCTCAGGTATCCCCCATTACCCTTGCGCTGGCTGACCCCCACCGACAGGCAGTTGCTTTCTGCTGTGGGCCAAACACCTGGGAGGGGGAGTGGCATGTGTCCCTAGGTAACACCTGTGAAACAGTTGGGTGGGCTCTTGTCCAAGCCACTGTGCCCATCTGGACTGGGCCAAAGACAGAGCACCCAGAAATAAGCAGGGTCAAAGGTGATATGGGCTATCAATTGGGCCTGGCCCTTAGGCCCTTTGCCAGGCTCACCAGGTGTTCTCCTTAAACATACAGAAGACTATGCCTGGCCCCAGACTCTGGACTCAGATCTCTGGGGTGAAGCCAGAACCCCACTCAGAATGTTCAGTGTCCTTCTCCCTGGCCACCTTTTTGTCCTGCCATCTAGGCTTGACGGACCCCTCACTCCTGCACTCCCTGCCTGCCCTTCCTAAATGTGTTTCTCTGATGACCCTTCCATGGCCCTCCTAATTTAATGTTTGTTCAGGTGAGTGCATGCCTCGCCCATAAGATGTGGACCCCACGTAGGCTGGACACTCTCCTGCTGTGTCCACAGGGCACAGAAGAGGGCACTAAAATCTCTGTGCAAGGAACAGTAAACAAGGCTTGAAACATTCTGACCACAGCTTTTATCTATTAACTTTCTATGGACACTTAAGATTCATACTCTCCTTTGTGTCTGCAAGTATACCCCGAAGCAGGGTAGTGGTGGTCAGCTGGGCTTTGATAGCAGTAATGGAAGGCAGTGTTAGCCTCTGGGACAAGACATCTGGGCTCTGTGGGCATCAGTGGCCCAGTCTGCAGTGACTCATAGACCCATAAAACAGTGGTAGGGACTTTGCAGCCATAACATGTGCTTATGCACTTTTTGGAAATTAAAGAATCTCCCCTGTTACCTATCTCTAGCCTGAGCAAGCCCCAGCCTGCAGGAGGAGCCCCACTTCGCCCCATAAGGTGTTGTGGCCTGCACCCTGGGCCGGCCAGCTGTAGGCGGAGGCTCTATGCCTGAGAGCAGCTAGCCTAGGGTCCTGCCCAAAGCTAGGCCTGGAGGGCTGAGTACCAGCGCCTTGGAATCCAAGGCCTGGTGGTTGAAGGTTGTGGCACCAAAACCCCTATGATACTCCCAGCCCAGTCACTGTCCCCAGAGTCAATGCACTGACCTGAACCTGCTCTACTGGTCCTGCCTGTGCCCAGCCTGCCCTGTCGCTCTGAAACTCCAGGCCCTGCAAGTTAGAAACCTGGGGCTTCTCAGTCTTCACATCCCAGCCAAGTGCCAGATCCTGACTCATCAGCTCTGAGGCCCCTTCACCCCTCCATCTTGGGGGGGCGGGTCTCATGGCAGAGTAGAGTAGGTCCCACCAGAGCAGAGTAAGTCCCTGCCCCTGCAAAATTTCTGTCTAGGGGCAGGGATTGTGGCCCTTCTTGTCCCTGACCAGCGGTCCTCTGTCCTAGCAGAGCCAGGGGTGGTGGGCGACGTGGCCAGGAGGCCATATTTGATATCTGGGGCAGTGGCTGGATCAGTAACTTGGTCATCTTCCGCCACCTGGCCCAGGTTCCCCCTGGCATGAGGAACATGGCAAGGTTGCAACCAGCTCTCACCTTAAGGGTGGGCAGGGTGCCCGGCCCTGGGGGCGCGGCCCTGGGCCCCTCTGCCGCCGCGCTCTTGACTCCCGGGTGTTCTTTCCGCTGCGGGGTTGCGGGCCCGGGAGCCATGGCAACGGGGCGGGGCCTCATCTTCGGACCCAAAGATTCACGAGCCGGTTCGGCGGCTGAGCCCCGCCCCCTAGCAACCGTTGCCGGGTACGCGACCCGGACCCCGCGTGGCCTGGGCGGGCTGGCGCCGAGATTCACGCTCTCTGGCAGGGTGGGATACCTTGAGGCCGCCAGGCACTGATCCGGGAAGTGCGGCCGAGCCGCGGCGGCGGGAGAGGGTCAGCGAGCCTGCCGGCTAGGGACGCCCGGCCCACAGTCCCCAGCCGCCTCCACGTGAGCGGGGTTTGGACCCCGGCGGCAGCCTGGGGCCGCGGGTAGCGCCGTAGGCCTCTGAGTCACACCTCTCGGTTTTCCTAGGGATACCATGTGGAAATTCATATATATATTAAACGTCTTTTGCACCGGGCGCGGTGGTGCACACCTGCAATCTGAGCGGTTCGGGAGGCAGAGACAGGAGAATCTCGAGTTCAAAGCCAGCCTCAGCACGGGCCAGGCGAGGCACCAAGCAACTCAGTGAGATCCTGACTCTAAATAAAATACAAAATAGGGCTAGGGATGTGGCTCAGTGGYCAATGAGCGCTCGCGAGTTCAATCCCCGGTACGAAGCGCGCRCACACACACACACACGTCTTCGGCGTCTCGACAAGTGCACCTCTGTGTCTGCGTTGGGGGGCAGACCTCATTTCGCCTCCTCACGGTGACTTTAGAGTTGGGCTGGCGGGTCAGTTCGTCAAAGGGGCCACACTGAGAGGCTGCAGGGTGGAACCTGGGGCGCGGGGGGCTCTGCTCAGTTGCGGGTGAGGGCCTCAGCATCACAGGGAGGGGTAGGATGGCAGACCCGCGGCCACCTGGGGGCACCGGGCAAACCCAGCCTTCCTCGAATCCAAGCCCGGGGCGTCCGCGGTGCCGGCCCTTCCTGAGGCTCAGCTCCACCTCTCCCCGACTCCCGGACTCTCCTTCCGCCTTCGGGCGCCGAGGCCTCTGGGTGGCAAACACTCCGGTGTCGTGGAGGCTCCCAGGCAAGGTCTTCCCAGCAATTGCCGCCTGTCCCCGGAATCGTCCCGCGTGGCACCGGCGCCCGGAACTCAGGCCCGCGCCTCCGGGAGCTCAGCCCCAGGGCCCCTCTGGGACACCGCCCTCCCAGACTCTCCCGGAAGCCCCGCCRCCCGCGGTTCCTGACAGACGGGAGGCTCAGCCAACCGCAGCGGGGCGGGGCGGGGCGGCCCTGGGGCGGGGCGCGACCGAGAGCAACCAATGGTCAGCCGCGCTAGGCTGACGGACGGACCCGGGCGGTGGGGAGGGCGGGGCGAGCGCAGGCCTGCCTCAGTCCCGCCGCCCGCGCCCGGCGCCCGCAGCCTCAGCCGCACCCGCCGCGGACGGAGCCCATGCGCGGGCCCAGCTGGCGCCCGCCCGCGCCCCCGCCCCGCCCCGGCCCCAGCCCCGACCCCCGGGGCAGTTGCGCCAGTGAGCGGTGAGTGCGGCGTGGGCTCAGGTGGACGCGGGTGGTGGGTGCGGACGGCGGGTGCCTAGGGTCCGCGGCCCTGGCTGGGTCCAGGCCGCCCTGGGGCCGCGCGCTGCGCCAGGCGCCGCCCGGCCCACGGGAACGCCGCGCCTGTAGCCATCTCGAGCGGGCCCCGGGGCCGAAGGGACATCCCCCGGGCCTTGGCCCCAGACCCGCTGTCCCACTGCCCTGGTGCTTCCCTTGGGTCTATTCCCCCAATCGCTTGCTTCTCAGAACCCCTGCCCTTTTTCTTGGGACCCCTGTTCTGGTTGTAGGATTGCGCCCAATCCTGGTGGGCTCTTCCCCTGCCGCTGGGCAGCATCTGGCATGCAGTAGGCGCTCAGTAAATACTTGTCGGATGCACCAACATGCCGCGGGCCGGAGGAGCCCGTTGTCGGCTGGCACTGACCTGCCTGGGCACGCTGCGGCCAGCCGTGGCAGGACCTGTTCTAGGGGGTGGCCTCAGCCCTCAGGCGCCTCCAGTTTAGCTTTCTGCCTACCCAGCAACTTCTAATTTGGGTGCGTGGTTGGGAGAAGCTCTCAGCTGTCAGCCCTGCCTTGGGGACCTGCTCCCGGCTTCCTCACTCGGCCATTTAGGGTGTTGGGGGGGAGGCAGGAGCTCTTTCATCCCAGTTGGAGGTGCCACACTTGAGGGGTTGGGCCATTGACCTGGCTGCCCCTGCCTGCTGGGTACTGGGGGTCCTATCCCTTCAGATGCCCCTCCCAACAGCTTCATGCAGCCTGGGCCTGGCTGAGCATGGTCCTCCTTGGCAGGTGGGGCAGGAGCTCCTGCAGTGCCTGGAGTGGCAGCCCCTGAGGAGCAATGACGGAGTATAAGCTTGTGGTGGTGGGCGCTGGAGGCGTGGGGAAAAGTGCGCTGACCATCCAGCTGATCCAGAACCACTTTGTGGACGAGTACGACCCCACCATAGAGGTGAGCCCGGATCACTCAGCTGGCCCTGGCAGCAGCCATGGGCAAACCCAGGACAGGCACTGGGCAGCTAAGTTTGGACACAGCCAGGACTGGGCCGGCTCTAGGCCCCAGCCCTGCAGGTGGCATGGGCCTGTCTCCCAGCTGCTGCAGCCTTGGTACCAGGGGCACAAGAGGTGCAAAGGAGGGGCTGACCCTGCCAACCCCAGGCCAGCAGGAGTGCAGGTCCCTGAGCCTCATCCTCCCGCAGGACTCCTACCGGAAGCAAGTGGTCATTGATGGGGAGACATGCCTGCTGGACATCTTGGACACAGCGGGCCAGGAAGAATACAGTGCCATGCGGGACCAGTACATGCGCACTGGGGAGGGCTTCCTCTGTGTGTTTGCCATCAACAACACCAAGTCCTTTGAGGACATCCATCAGTATAGGTGAGCCACCTGTGGCCAGCCCAGGAGCCCATGGCATGGGTGGGGCAGGGAGGCTCTCTGTATCCAGACAGGGTCTCCTGCCCTCTGTATGTCCTGGATGCAGCCACGTTTGTATCCCACCCACTGGCTCACACCTAACCCCTCTCAGGGAGCAGATTAAGCGGGTGAAGGACTCGGATGATGTGCCCATGGTGCTGGTGGGGAACAAATGTGACCTGGCCGCACGTACTGTGGAGTCTCGGCAGGCCCAGGATCTTGCCCGAAGCTATGGCATTCCCTACATTGAGACATCAGCCAAGACCCGGCAGGTGAGCAGCTCCCCACCTTGTGGCTAGCCAGGGACTTGCCCCGCTCAGCCCCAGCCAGGGAACAGTGCTTATTGCCCCTCTCCCTCAACACAGGGCAGCCGCTCTGGCTTTGGCTCCAGCTCCGGGACCCTCTGGGACCCCCGGGACCCATGTGACCCAGCGGCCCCCACGCTGTAAGTCTCCCCAGACGGCAGGGCAGTGACGGAGGAGAGGGATAGGGTCTGGGCTCATGCCCTGCAGTCCTGGGCCGACACAGCTTCAGGGGAGGTGGAGGTCCATGGAGAGAGCTGCCCTGAGCCAGGCCAGAGCGGTGACCCTGGGGCCCAGTTCCTTCTGTCCCAAGAGCACCCAATGGTCACCTGTTAGTCCTGAGTCCTGAGTGAGGCTACTGGGGACATTGGCCATAGCTCAGATAAGAATTGGGTTAGGGTGTTCAAGCCTCGAGCCAGATTGGGGATGTAGGAGGGTCCTGGGCCACTCTGAGCTTTGGGGACTATTTAAAAGTGAAGGCTTGTGGCTTCTAGGCGAATAGGGCCTAACTCTGTATGGCTTGGAGGACTGAGGAAGCGGACAGTGAATCTTGGACTGGGATGCTGTTTGAGGTCAAGGCAGGAAGTCCCTTACCTAAGCAGGCGTCTCTGGTTCTCCTTCCAGCCAGGTCCCCAGGCAGACCCTCCCCCAGTCCCTCTGTTTCCAGGGTCTCAGGTCTCCTCCTGGCCAGGCCCCCAGAGAGCTCCCACCCAGTCCCTCTTTTCCCCAGGGTCTCAGGTCTCCTCCCGGCCAGCTCC